AAAAAAAAAAAAAAAAAAAAAAAAAAAAAAAAAAAAGCATTTAATTGCTAAACAGACAAGGTTCTTTGGATGAATCTGATATCTTTTATTAGACCAACTTAAATAGTTGGAAAACCATTAAGCAAGCTTTCAGGTTCAAAAATGCTTCATCAGGCTAAGGAAGCTTCAGCAGTTGGTGTGTGCTCTTCCTGGATGGAATGAAATGTAAAGAAGCCAGAGGCTGGTCTGGTATACGTACAAGATAGGTAGTCTGTGAAAATATAGATGGAGGAGTCAATGGGTGAGAGAGGAGCTGGGGCGGGAAGAGAGAGAAGGGGGATGAATAGTGGAGAGATACCTGGGGAGTTGGACATCAGGCAGGTTATAATGTGTCATAAATCCAATGTCTATTTTTAGTCCATGATTTTTAGTATCCAGGATAATTTAATGTTTAATTGCTAGATATTTTCATGCCTGAATTCAAAGCATCTAAAGTGGTGTTTACAGCCTTTTTGTTTTTATTTTTAAAAAAGGATTAAATCTGACTTTTTCTTTTCTTAAAGGCAACTTTTTTGGATATAAAATGCACTCTCCTTTTTTTGACTCTAATTCCATTTGTGTGGGTCTATAACAGAACAGCAAAATAAACCGCTCAAGAAATACAGGATTTGAAATAGGATTTGAAAGACTATGTAAGCTGCTATGGAGGAAAGAGAACAAATAGTATACCTGTATCTTGAACTATAACTTTTAATTTTGAAATGGTTTATGATGATTTTTTTTGAGTGTTATCAATTAATATGACTTTCAAGAGGTATAAATTCCTCTTTGGAGGAGGCACATGAATGAGTGTTAATCTTAATGTTTTTAGCAGCTCGGTAAAACTGTAACATGCTTTAGAGCTTGAAACAAATGCATGGTCTAACCTACATCCTATAAGAATATTAAAACATAAGCAGTACGATGCTGGGTCAGGCCAAAAGTCCACTTGTCACAGCATCCCGTCTCTTACAATGGCTGTAATTAGTGCTTTAGATGTGCCCTGTTGATATGTTCTCCTTCTAGAGGTGATCCATCCCCTGTCCTACCATTCCTGGCATCCACATCATTGGCTTAGGGATGTTGGAGGATATACAGCTGGATATTTTTGATGGTTCTTGATGGAGCTGTCCTCCACGAATTAGTATAGCCATGTTCAAAAATGAATGGTACAATTGTTACCAGACTTGCCTGCTACTTTGGGGTATGCTCATTTATTAGGGCTAGGGTCTTGGTAATTCTGTGAATGTGCTGCTTGTGTTTCTATACAGAGCTGTCTCTCTCCCTTCTGCAAGCCCTCACCCCCAATGGAGCTATCTTGCAGGACTTGGTTTCAGTGGGGCTGGGTCCCTCCAGTCCCCAAATCAGTCATGCACACACAGATTAACGTGACGCGCCTGACCTAAGTGGGTTGATCAGCATGGACAGGCTGACACTCTCACATGCCAAGAATCAGTTCATCAGAGCAACAATAACTACAGTCAGACACAAGCACGCAGTTAAACAGAATACCTCTGAATCTGGCTGGGTGTCCAGCTGATGCCCTCATGGGCCAGCATTCAGTTCATTAGGACACGTCTGAGCCAAACTGGGTCAATCAGCCTGTACAAGCTGATCCCCTTATGTGTTTCAAACTCGGCACATCCCAACCTCTTAGCCTCTTGATGAGCAGACCCCACAGTATTTTTGGGCTTCACAGGGATTTTTAGCTTAGGTAAAACGAGCATTGCTGCAGAGCAAGTGGGAAGGAGAAGTAGAGAAGGAAAAATATACCCAGTTGCCACCAGTTTGACTATAAAAGTTATTTATTGTTAAGTATATGCAATATATAATGACACTAGCAGTAACAGACATGCAAAGAAAAACAAACACAAACAGTTACAGTATTACCCTGGTTCACTAAGTATTTGGGGAAACTTAGCTCAAGCTTAAC